AAATTATTATGTTACTGCAGAGTTTTGTCCTTTTCAAGTTGGTCATTTTCATGTTTCAGCATTCCTCAATACATGCTTGATTGACATACTAAGTATGAATGCTATGTCACAGTGTCTTATTTTCTGCAAGACTGAACCTAAAATTTCTTTACTTAGAGCCAGCTCCCATTAAGACAAAACCAGCCCCAGCTAAAGGTAAGAGCAGACTTAACTTTGTTAATCATAATTTTAAAATGTACTCAAGCTTTTGATTTTCATACTCATTTATCTTTGACAGAAGCACCACACAAAAATGTTACTCTAACAAAGGAGAAGGTGAAGGTGGTGCCACTGAAGAAAGGTGCATCTCTTTGTTTAAGCAGCTGTTCTTGTGTGTTTTTATACTAACTTTCTAAGTTCAGAATGCTTTCTCAATGTTTCCAAACTCAAACATTTTTTCCCCTCTGTTAGTGCCTTTGAGACTGAAAGAGAGAGTTAAACCAGAACCAACCAAAAAAGGTAGAAACAGTAATATATGAGAACATTTTGTATTCAATTTTAATCATTTATCTATAGTACTGTGCAAAAGTGTTAAGCCACCACTTATTTCTATATATTTTGCTTCCAAAGAACCAGACTATTATGGAACTTTTTAAAGTCCTGTGTCTTTTCCCCTCACCCCCAACCGGTCAAAGGGGATGACCACCCCTCCCTGAGCCTGGTTCTGCTGGAGGTTTCTTCCTGTTAAAAGGGGGTTTTTCTTCCCACTGTCACCAAAGTGCTTGCTCATAGGGGGTCATCTGATTGTTGGGGTTTTCTCTGTTTTCTCTGTATTATTGTAGGGTCTTTACCTTACAATATAAAGAGCTTTGACACAACTGTGGTTGAGATTTGGCGCTATATGAATAAATACATTGAATTGAATAAAAAGGCACCTTACTCAACTTAACTCAAGGGTTGACTCAATGTTATGGCTACACATATCAGACAACTTGGCAAATTATCTTTAGATCCTTTGCTTTCGATCAACCAGAACACCTGTATAGGTGCTGGGAACTTTATTAATGGTCTGGTGTAAAAACAAATCATTTGTTCTAATTTTTTTTTAGTTAAATCTACAAAAAAAGTAAAAAAATAAAAATAAAATAAAAACACAGTACTCTAGATTTTAACATTCAGACTTTAAACAGCATTTTATTGTATTTAAAACAGTTTTTGGTGTTGTTTTGGATGACTGATGTGGACCTGTAAGGAAAATTCATTAGCATTAGCTGTACTCACACAGAAGGAAACCTACATTGAGCCTAAAAGGAAAATGGACTTATAGGCTTTATTTGTTTTGTGGAGGATAAAAATGTTTGAAGCAGCTTTTCCTTTTTACTTCAGATGCCAAAAAGCCTGTAAGAGGAATTAAAATTGTCAAGAAGCAGGTTGCATCTGTTCTTAAAAAGGAACAGCTCAACATTACAAAAGCAGGTGAGACTATGCTGGAATACTGTTTAATGTAAGGCGTGAGACACCACATTGTCTCATTTTCTCTGCAATGTGTAAGTTAAAGCTATTCTGATGGTTAACGATATAGTGTCTCATTGATTTTTCAAGTCATTCAAGAAATACATTTAAGCATGTGCTAATACATACTTTGTTTGCTGACAATGACAATGTAATGCCGAATGAGCCTAAAGACTTTCATGTGGGATATTAAAAAACTCAAAATAAATTTTTAATTCATAAGCAACAATCTTTAGAAATCAATGTCTTATTTTCCACCAGAAGCAGCTCCCAAGGAGCCTAAGAAGGAGCCAACGCTAAAAGTAAAGCCTACACCTGTAAAACCAGGTAAGGTAAATATGATGATGGAGTTGAAATCAATGCCCAAAATCTAATAAAAGTCAATATGAAGAGCCTTGACGCATCTGTGGTTGTGATTTGGTGCTATATGAATAAATAAACTGAATTGAATAAAAAGGCGTTGTGGCTTCACATAACAGACAACTTGGCAAAACATCTCTAAATCCTTTGCTTTTGATCAACCAGGAGACCTGTAGAGGTGCTGGAAACTTTATTATTAGTCTGTTGTAAATCCAATCATATGCTCTAAAAAAGGGGCCAAAAATAACACAGAACAGTACTCTAGATTTTAACAGTCAGACTTTTAATAACATGAAAGAGAATTTGAATTTTATACTGAACATGACGTTCTGTGTTTTTAACATCAGCTGAGGTTTCAAAACAGAAGCTCAAGCCAGTTCCAATCAAGAAAGGTAAGAAATAGTTATCATTGAGTTTCACTGTGTCTCTGTAACACTGAACGTAAAATTTCTTTACTTAGAACCAGTTACAGCTAAGCCAAAAATGTGCTCAAGCTTTTGATTTTCACACAATTTTCTCTGTTACAGAGGCAGAAGCACCACACAAAAATATTTTTCTGAATGTGAAGTTCTGTTGCTATTATTTGTTTAGAAGCTGAGGTTCTTAAGAAGAAGAAAGCTGAGCCAGTGACTCCCAAAAAAGGTATCCTTTTAGCTTTTCACCTCTTTCACAGATCTTATTTTTCCTTTAATTATCTAACAGGTAGAACAGCAGTATTTCAGTGGTTCCCGCCTTTTTATAAATATAATTCAAGTTAATTGGAGCATTTATTATTCTAGCAGCTGTTACCAAGGCAAAACCATCACCTGCTAAAAAGAAGAAAGGTATTGTTACGAACTTGCATGTTCATGTGTTTGAATCGTGTGTTATTTTGCTGTAGAAACATCACACGCAGCACTGTGCTGATATTAATTCAGTCATGTTCAACCCACGTCACATCACGACTGATTCGCTGACATGTAGCTGCTGACGATATGCTTCACTGCCACG